GTCATATCTAACACTTCAAGTAAAGGTACTGCTTTCAGAATAGGTATTTCTTGTCATCTATAGAAATTAAAAGTATGAACTGATCGTTTACGATGACTAACCCCTGAAGAACCACAAGCGTATCTGTCCCTAAGTCATCGAAAAGGCTTTATTTTTTGTTTAAATTTCACAATGGCACTGTTTAGTTGCTACCATTGTAAGACCTCAACTTTAAACACCAGAAATTGTACAGAAAAAATAGAATGCAAAATCAGGAAAATTATTACAATTAAACTATCATGAATATGGAAATAAAGCACATAAAGCCACAAAATCATGTTCTTATCATAGAAAATTATATCACATTTTGATGTATTTTGATGGATCTATAAGTATCTACATGTATGAAAAGTTAAAAAAAAACAATGATATATATGCATCTTGATAGATCTATAAGTATCTACATGTATGAAAAGTAAAAAAAAAAAAATTATATATATGTATCTTGATAGATCTATAAGTATCTACATTTATGAAAGTGAAAAAAAAAAATTGATGTATATGTATCTTGATAGATCTATAAGTATCTACATGTATGAAAAGTAAAAAAAAAAAAAAAAAAAATATATATATATATATATATATATATATATATATATATATATATATATATATATATATATATATATATATATATATATATATATATATATATATATATATGTATTTTGAAGGATCTGTAAGTATCTATGTGTATGAAAAGTAAATGAACAACTATATACCCCAAAGTAACTTGTGTGGAGGGAGACTGTGATAGAGGAAAAGATGAGGGGGGACTTTGACTAAAATAAATATGCTACATCATCCCAGAAACATTAATTCACACACACAGTATTTCCTTCACAAGAAGAAAGACATGGGAAAACATTAGCATATGACTGGCTTGAGTGAGGAGTACCTACAAGGGGCACTGTGGTATGGTGATGATATTGTGAGTGTTACATGAGGAATCTTGTCAAAAAGGACCAAATATATTAACCCACCATTGCCAGGAAAATGTTGTCTTCACTGTACTATTGCTCTGTGAAATGTTTCTGAACATTAATGGCTCTGCAAGTGGTTATCCACAAAGGAGTCAGTGTGACCAAGTGACTTCACCTGATTTCACCTTTCCTCAAATTTGTGGTTAAAAACACTTTTTTTTGCAAATGCTATCAGTATCAGTGCTGTTACTCTTATTATAGACATTATAATTATAATAGTGTTAATGACATTATTAACCCAATGGTGCCGGGGAAAATGAACAAAAAATGGGGAAAATATTGTGCCCACTTTCTATGTTTTTCGTGAAATGTCTGCCAATAGATGGCTCCGCTAGCGCCTGATTTAAATGGCGGGAAAAACGTATTTTTCACTAGTGCAATGAAAATCGATGGTGTTATTTTTATCATAAACATTATAATTTTTATAATTTTTTTTAACATTAGTAACAGCAAAATAAGATTACGTAAAATATTTTGTAAATCAAAGAAACGAGTAAATGGGCGAGACGGGCGGTGCTCGTAACTGGCTCATTGGGGAGTTAGTACAAGTGTTGCCATCTATGCGTAAAAACAATCAAACAAGTACTCACTGTGGGCATAGCACGTACATACACGTCATACCCAGCACCAAGGGGTTAACAGCAATATTAGATACCAGAAAATATTTTTGAAAATTAAGGAAAAGGGTAAACAAGTGAAACAGGTAGTACTTATAATTGACTCACAGATAACTTAGTACTTGTAGAGCCATCTATATGCACAAACACTTAATAAATCAAACTCACAGTGGGAATTAAATGTATATACATGCTATCCCTGGCATCTTCAGGTTAACCCACTCGCAACGGGCTGTCACGTAGATGTGACATGCCCAGTGTGAGTTTACTTTTTAATGTTTTTACACAAAGATGGCTACACTTGTAATAAAACACCAATAAAACGCCAGTTACAAGTACTGCCTGTCTTGCTCGTTTACCCTTTTCTTTAATTTACAAAAAAATATAATACGTTATCTTATTTTGCTATAACCATTGTTTATAACATTATAGTAATTATAATGTTTATAATAAAAATAACACCATCAAATATAATACGTTATCTTATTTTGCTATAACTACTGTTTATAACATTATAGTAATTATAATGTTTATAATAAAAATAACACCATCAATATTCATGGAAAAAAAAAAAAACCCACAGTTTTGGACCTTGCATGATCACAGTAAATAGTAAAGCCAACACATAATAGAAAGTCATGTCCATGGTGAATAGGACAATATGGGTTGAAGTTTGAATCTCAAATCCTCTAAAAATTTATATAAAGTTACCTACTTCTTTACTATCAAAATATGCATTGATAAATATAAATATGTTAATGCCTATCTTTCCTCATTGATTCTTTTCGTAGATGTAAAGATTAACACATGTGTCTTTAGGTGATTTCATTTTATGGTTAAAAGATAAATAAATTTACAAAATGCAGCAAAATTCAAGACAAATCATTTAATAGCAAAATAATATAAAACATACAAAGATCTGTACAAATACCATCTACAAGTAATTTACATATTAGATATTCACACAAATTTGTTATGAAATCTGAAAATTACACACACACACACACACACACACACACACACACACACACACACACACACACACACACACACACACACACACACACACACACACACACACTTTCCAAACAAATTCACATTAGCATATCAAAAGAATCTTCCACAAATCTGCATCTCATCACACACATTCCTAAATTTCCAAAACAAATGTTTATCCCCACTGAAATCCAACATTTTCCTATCAAATATCTTCATCCGAGTCTGTCTCAATGGCCCCATCTTCTCCAGGCTCTACGATACTCAGGCAGATATCCGCAAACTCTGTGAATATTGGTTCCCTCATGGCTCTTGCAATGTGGACTTCTGTGTTGGACGCACTATCCACTTCCCTCAGGATCTCCCTTAAGTGGGGGTTGCGGAGAACAGCTTGTAGTCTACGCGAGCACCCTAAGGGAAACACATGATTATCAGTGAACACATTAACATTTACACAAAGATGGACAGGAAAACAGCTTGAATGAGAAAAGAAAATGAAAAAACATTGAAATGCAGGGAGTCGACTCTTGATAAGATCCAAACATTAATCTATTTTCATTTCTTATTGTAACTCTTCTCCTTTTCATGGTTTTCAGTATTTATAATATATTTTTGTGGTACAAAGAATAAAAAATACAATAAAGAAATGATGCAGGGTTGAAATTTCTGTAAAATCATCAAGTATTTTAGCCACTGCTATTACTGAAAACAAGATACAGCAACATTCTTGCAAAACTAAACGTATACATAATTAAAATACATCAAAATTACTTATATACATTGCATCCCAACTTATATGAGTCTACCAATTCATTGACAGTATCATGGTACCAAAATACCAATTCCAGCTTTGGAGATCTATCACTTTCTTTTCCTATTAGTTTTACCAAAAATCATGACAGATATATCCACTATGTAAAAAAAAAGTTGAAAGCCTCGTAATCAAATCTAATTTGTTTATAAAGACTTTTTTCTGTCATTTCATTAAATCAAGTGTTTTATCTTTAATAGAAAGGTGATATGAGGCTAAAATACTTTTCAGGTTTGGAAAAAATATAAAAATGATAATAAATATAGAATGAGTTAACACATCAAAATAGCAAATAATGAATAAAACACCAAACAAACAGAACCAATTTTTTTTTTTAACACATTTCCCAAAGGACTTACTTAGCTTCTCCAAAGTCTCCGGCAGAACTGTATCATCGGTTGGGAAGAGTACGTTTTGTGACGATATGTTTCCTTTAGTGTCGATCTCCAAGGTCACAGTCGGCTCTGGTGGCGCTGGTTCGCACTTTCCTTCCTTATGGCTCTTGAAACAGACGACACTGCAGCTGGAAAGGAACGACAGTTTTTAGCTATACTTATTGTTTAAAATCCAAACAAACTGAACAGAGCAGAGGGAACAAAAAAAAAAAGAAAAAAAAAAGAGGGAAAGAAAGACAAAAAGAAAGAAAAACAGAATGAAAGGAAAAAAAAAGAAAGCTTTCTATATCAAACACTACACTCTGCTTCAAGTGTTATAATAAAAGCACTAATTCCGAGTCAGCAAGGGGTAGCATGAAGTGGCAAAGACAACTTCAGATGGAGAGGTCTCTAAGTGAAAAGGGTTTAAAAAGGAGTTATTATAAGTAAAACATATGGGATTTCAAAATTATGTTACAGTACATGTACAGAAAATACATTTTAGGTTCTTATAGTATAATAATGTTTTGGTGTCTATGTCAAGCCTATATAAATAAGAGTAAAATAACACAGTAATCTAGGAGTGGATACAGCTATACATTCAAATGCTGAAAATATATATATACATATATATATATATATATATATATATATATATATATATATATATATATATATATATATATATATATATGTATATATATATATATATATGTATATGTACATATATAAATAGACTAATTACAGATTGGCAGATATATATTGTTGCTGTGATTAACCCATTGATGCCAGGATGAGATGTACATATTTTGTTTTGTCCACTATAATTTTAGTTAATTTGCTAATACATAGGGAATTCTACACGTGCTTGGTCACCAAAAGATCACTTACTAGTCCTGACTAGTAATAACATTAAATAATAATTAAAAACATAATCTTCATTTGTTATTTACAAGAAATTTAGTTCTTATAATACCAACAACTGCAGAAGAAACAGCCAAAATCAGCTCTAGGTTAACAAAGAAAGAAATTTTAGTTAAAAAGAATATCAAATTAAATAACGACAACTGTTTTTTTGCCTATTGTTACATATATCAAGCTGTCAAACAGATACTGGATAAAGAAAATAGCAAGTAAGCAGCTTACAAGATTTCTAACAAATATCAAAAATTAAATTATATGTCAAATATGTCTACCAAGGAAATTTGATTGATTTACAAGTTCTCTACGTAATACCAACTTCAACCTTGTAAAAACAATCTGGGTTAATGTTTACCAAAGTCGACAAACATGGAAAACCAAAAAATAAATTGTTTCTTAAATTATTTAGCACTGAGCTTCAACAAAACTGTATATGCAAACCAGGGAGAGTTACTTAGGATTTACATAGTGGAAAAGTTAGTGTTCTTTGAGAATCTTAAGCTAAGTAATGTTCAAGCTTCCGATCATGGATGAGTGTATCTATAAACACATGCACAGCAGAGAAATTCTAAAAAAGGGAGCATAATGGTGTATTAGCAAGGATCTAGCAGTACATATGACAATATCACATGACATAAACTGACTTCCTGGCCCATACAGTTTAAATGTTGGAATAATTTCATCAAGTTAAAGAAATCATCACCCCATTATCAAAGACAACTAACATCCTTCCCAAAACTCAGAATCAGAAGCACTTTAAATTTTGGTTAAAATCTGAGGGAAACCAAATGGAAAGCTTTCTTATTGGTCATGACGGAATTACATGTTTTTTGAAATGTATGATTGATAAGGTTTCATTGCCGCTGGGGAAAATGAACAAAAAATGGGGAAAATCCTGTGCCTATTTTCTATACTTTTTTGTTAAATGTCTGCCCATAGATGGCTCTGTTAGCGCCTGATTTGAAATGGCGGGAAAAACGTATTTTTCATTAGTGCCATGAATATTGATGGTGTTATTTTTATTATAAACATTATAATTTTTATAATGTTTTTAACATTAGCACCAGCAAAATATTTTGTAAATCAAAGAGGGTGAACGGGCGAGACAGGCGGTACTCGTAACTGGCTCATTGGGGAGTTAGTACAAGTGTAGCCATCTATGTGTGAAAACAATCTAACAAGTAATCTCACAGTAGGCATGGCATGGCATGCCCGGCGGGAATGGGTTAAAATGCGCAGAGGAGTGTAATGGCAAGTTATTGTGCGCATGAAATTTGCATTCTACTTTCCAAAAGTACTGATTCTTCACCAGACAGACTTTCATTTTGCAAAGGAAAGGGTTTTGGGGAATTACAGTTCTATAGAAAAACAAAAAATTCAGAAGATTCTTTATAGCTGCAACAAAGTAGTCATCTTTTTATGATTACCACATAGTACAAGTTAACAAGTATATGGACTAAATAGGTTAACATATAAGTCATTTTTACTTATTCCCCATTGCATTTTACACATAAACTTACACAATACTAAATACTACAAATAACTTGTATGACAGTGGCAGTGTCAAGCAATTGTCATAGCCTTCACACCTTTGGCTCTCTAGCAAAGATCAGTAAACATCCATCATAAATAAAAAATCTAATGCAAATTATAATGATTTTCTGGGTTTCATACAGACATCCAACCTTGCAATTATTATTTCTTCTTTCAATTATTCACAATGTACTATGCATGAATCTAGTTATCTTGCAAATGATATAAATGAAAGTACTGGTAATTCTTGTCCGTATTGCTCCAGCCACTTCTTGGAAATCACAAACATAAAAAACCTTCCTAACCTTGGGCTTCACCCCAGAACCAGTATTTCCCTATCAGGGGCTTTGGCTGGGATTCCCACCCAATCACTATGGTAAAGTTTACCTTGTACCATATAGTTGTAAGAAACTGAAATTATACCAAAATTACTGTAAAGCTTTGAAGTCAATAAAAGTTCCTCATTAGAGGTAGTAAAAATAAATGAAATTAAAATATGACTAGCAATATTCACCATTAAAAAAAGTAACTAGTGACCTAAACCATTTAAATATATATATACATTGTAGTTTTTGCATTGTGGGTTTTCCTACCTTAGCATCACCATGAGAGAGTGTTTTACCATTTATTCATACACTGTAGTACATTTGAATATTTTACTATAATCTCTGACACCTTCTATAAGGCTTGCTTGCAAAATACACAGATAATATTAAGCAGACAAGTGTTGAAATTTCACATTAAAGTCTCCATTCAGGATTCTATATAATAATCCAATCAGAATTATACCTATAAAATGCATAAGGAATCCATTCCATACCCAGGACCAACAATGAAACATGGGAAGAATATGAATATTATATATTCCCAGTATATATATACACATATATTTCCATTCTTTTCTTTTCCTAAGACTACTTCATTACAAAACATCTAGAATTATGATACATTTCATGCATACGGATTAGATATCCATAGATAACATAATCAGAAAAGTCAGAATGGTCAATGAGGTAAACAAACTACCACATCAAATATTCATTACTTTCCAACTACCAAAGCAACACCGAGTTCCCTAATAGACAAAGAACCGAACAGATATTCACTTACTACTTCAATAAACATCCTGGACATTTGTATTTAGATGTTGCTTTGGTACAAACTTGACAGACATCAGCGCCTCCATCCATCCTCTGCGACTGAGGGAAGACGATTGCATACGAGAAACCGACCACGTGGTGGAGGCTCGCCGAAGGTAAACAAAAATCAGCTGTTTAGTGTTGTCAACACGTGGGGATTTTTTTTTTTTTTTTCATTACGCCGATCGAATGTTAACTGAAAAAAAAACAGACAAATGAGCATAAATGGATATATACATACATACATATATATATATATATATATATATATATATATATATATATATATATATATATATATATATATGTGTGTGTGTGTGTGTGTGTGTGTGTGTGTGTGTGTGTGTATATATATATATATATATATATATATATATATATATATATATATATATATATATATATATATATATATGTATGTATATACATATATGTATATATATATATATATATATATATATATATATATATATATATATATATATGTATATATATATATATATATATATATATATATATATATATATATATATATATATATACGTATTATATGTGATATATATACACACACACACACACACACACACACACACACACACACACACACACACATATATATATATATATATATATATATATATATATATGTATATATATATATATTGTATATATATATATACATATATATATATATATATATATATGTGTGTGTGTGTGTGTGTGTGTGTGTGTGTGTGTGTGTGTGTGTGTGTGTGTGTGTGTGTGTGCGTTCATCTCCCTCCCTTCTCACATCCACCCACCTCCCCCCAGCTCCACCTCCTCTCCAAAAGCGATAAAGCTTAAAACCAGACAAAAATCTCCAACGCGTACTGCATTTCCTCAGTGTACATCAGTACAGCTTTCTGATCCAGTGTGCCTCTTGAAGCGTGTCCCCTTCCTCCCCCCCCTTCTCCCTTCCAGCTTCTCTATCCTTCTCCACCCCCTCCACCCCCCCCCCTTCTCCACCCTTCCTCCCCCCCCCCCTTCTCCACCCTTCTCCACCCTCGTCCTTCGTGCATCTGTAGGCGTGAAGGACGATGAAGTTACTCGCCTGTCGCTCACAGATACGACTGTTAGTGAAATATCCGAATTGCTACTTCCATTTATTTTCCCTTTGACTTTGAGGTGTATCCTAAGTTTCATCTGTGTTTGGTGAAGGTGTGAATGGGGTTATCTATCGTATGATGTCAAAGTATTTGGTATTTTGGTGTTAAGGTCAGAATTTAACTTTCTTGTTGATTTTTTCCACGCTCTAAAAGTTACACGTAAAATATACATGATTGTTTATGTTCGTTATCACCTCACTCTTACTTAAATTGTTTAGTGTTTTTGTAATATTCATAAATAAGAGTAGATGAATTAATAATATAGTATATTAGTGAACTATGAATCAATCAAACTCTAAAGATAAATATAATTCCTCGTCCTTCCTTTTCATTTCTTATTTTCACTGTTGTTACAGCCCCTCCCCCCCCCCCTCCCCCCTCCCCTTCTCACCCTATTAACCTTCCCTCCTCAAATCACGTGTTTCCTTTGCTCTAATTTGCTCTACTTCCCGACAAAATTCCCCTTCCCCCCCCCCACCCGTCCACCGCATCGTGACCGTGGCCTTGACGTGTGTGAGGGAGGGGGGGGGGGGGAGTTCCGAGCGCCCCGGATCTTGGGGGCTTCGTAAAGAGGTTTCCGGAGCGAATAACGTAAATAACCGTAACGTGGAAAGTTGACTCACTATCGAAGGGCCGTTGACAGCATTTCCTTGCAATACCTGCAACACAGATTAATTATAGGGTTGAGCACCTATCTCCGCGTTTTTTTTGTTTTTTTTTTTCCTTTTTTTATGTAGCGTGCTGTAGTTATTACCCCTCTCTCCCTCTCTCCTTCTCCCTCCCTTTCTTACCTTGCCTTGCCTTGTCCTGCGTTTCCCTTCCGTGCCCTTCCCTTCTCTTCCCTCTCCCTCCCTCATCCTTCCCTTCCCTTCCCTTCCCTTCCCTTCTTTTCCCCTCCCTTCCCTCTCCCTCCCTTGTCCTTCTCTTCTCCTTCGTTCCCTCTTCCTCTCTCGTCCTTTCCTTCCCTTCCCTTCCCTTCCCTCCCCTCCCCTTCCCTTCCCTTCCCTTCCCTTCCCCTCCCCCGTCCTTACCTTTCCATCCCTCTCCCTCCTTCGTCTTTCCCTTCCCTTCCCTTCCCTTCTCTTCCCTTCTCTTCTCTTCTTTCTCTTCCTTCCCCTTCTTCCGTCTCCCTCTCCCCCCCTCCAGTCGACCCCAAATTTCAGCGGAAGTGTCAGCCTTGCCATTCCTTGGGGCGGGTGTGGTTCAGAGCTAACAGCTAAGATTAAACACCCCTCTTACCCCCCTTTTTTAAACCTGTGTTATTTATACATACGTCTATAATCATTCTCAAAAATAAACATGTGGTAACGTTGTACAGAAAGATGAAAAGGAAAAGCGTGTGTGTTTCGTCTGATGAGGAAGTCTTGGCGAGTTCGAAACGTCGTGATTCGAATGTTCCTTGTTTTGTTTCTTGTGACTTTTTTTTTTTGTATAATTGTATGTTTCTGTGAATTAGTGCACATACACATTTGCTTAGGTATATTATATGTTTGTTTGTTTTTGTTTATAGATATATATTTTTATATACATTACACTTAATATTTTGATAAGCGTCATGGACAAAACCTATAACGATGATCCGGCTTGAACTCGTTAAGCATAAACGGCTTTTGACTTCCATCGCTCCTCAAAAAATGCTTTTAAACTTATAAAAGGACAACCCATTTAAATGTCATTCATAATTTATCACTTTTCAACGCCGGAAGAAAACACTTTCAAGACCTGCAGTTCATTTATCTCAAGGATAACCCAACGCCAGCCTTGGACTTTTTCGAGGAGTTACTAATCTCTGTTAACATAAATGCGTCGCAAATTAAGAAAAAAATATATATATTACCAGAGTGGAAGATTTAAGAGGAATATTCCTTTGTAAAATTATAATGTTCGTGTTGATTTTCCTGATTGCATGTAGGATATTTTCGTTTTATTTCACTATTCCAGTACTCATATCCAAACATTTTTTTATAGTGACGACTTCCCAGACTTCCTTAGTTCTAAGGTGATGATGTGTGTGTGCGTGTGCGTGCGTGTGTTTGTGTGTGTGTGTGTGTGTGTGTGTGTGTGTGTGTGTGTGTGTTTGTGTGTGTGTGTGTGTGTGTGTGCGTGTGTGTGTGTGTGTGTGTGTAACTGTCGCTCTCATACAGTCATACGAAATACCCACACTATCTTATACATTGTAAAATTCATACATAATATTAACATATTACAATTATCAGAAGAAATTACGTGTTTTACGCTGTTTTAACTATCATTTTTAGTTGAATAAAACGGCCAATTTTGGTTTCTCTTCCATTTTCGTCATTGGTCAATTTTCTTTATTTCTTATTACAACTAACTGCTTGTTGTTTTATATATAGCACGAGGAACTGTAGAAACCATTATATATTAGGTGCTGAGTATCTACATACATTTAGATAGATATAAATAGGTTAGTAGGTACGTAGATATGTTGATAGATGCATATATAGATGGGTAGGTAGATTTGTGTGTGTGTGTGTGTGTGTGTGCGTGTGTATGTGTAGACAGACAGATGTTTGCATGTATGTATGTACGTACGTATGTATGCATGTATTTACGTACACAAAGAAACGCAAGCGGTAGTGAAGTTAAAAGATCAGCAAATCTCTCTGAATATAACACTATTATTTGCCGGATATGGACCCCACTACAGTAAAAAAAAAAAAATGTAGGCCTGCATCTGACAGGGTTAACATCCAAACCAGTAAAGAATCTTTAGTATCGAAGAATGTCCAAGCAAACCATTAAACTCAAAGGCTGTTTTCTTTATAGTCAGTCATCCTAATGGCTTAAAGAGCGGTCGTTTGCCTTCGATGAATAATTTAGATATAACTTCAGCCAGTTTCGTAGTGGGTATATGCTTACCTAAAAAAAGAAAGAAAAAAAATATGGAAAAGCATTAGTGGCATATTACTCCGAAACAGAACTGGGAAATATGAAGGTCACAGTGTATTAAAAATATAACGAATTCCACTGTCGATTTCGTAGAAGTGTTTCAGGTTAAAATGTCCTCCATCTTATAAAAAAAAAAAAAAAAAAAAAAAAAAAGCAAACTAAACAGCGGTTTATATATCCCCTGCAGTAAATTTCTTCGTAAGTTATTATTGCTCTTGTATGTGTGTATTTCTTTTTTTACTCAAAGACATTTGATATAATCTCATTAATTACAATACGCATCGGCATTGCACCTCACGTAGCATGACCACACTTGCGATTTGCAACTTTGTCTGTGAATGTATATGAAGGATTTTTTTTATGGCGTAATAATCATAATATTGAGGTGTATTTACAGAAACCATCTGCCATGATACCATAACAATAAGTAAAAGTGAATGTTGCAGTAGATTACCCCCCCCCCCCCCCACGTTTCCCATCACACAAACAACCTCAAAATTGCCATCTCACTGTCACTGCCACGCACATCGTGACCATAAACTGCATACTCTGTTACACTGTATATTAACGTATATGATTTTGTGTGAAAGATAATTAGAGTTACTCTGTTCCACTGCACGGTGCTTCCATGCAGTCTTGACTGTCATCTGGCAGTCTGGTTCCATTCCCACTGACCTGTTGAGAGGCGTGATCATCCCTCTCTGGAATAGGAAAGGGGATCGTTAGGACTGTAACAACTACCGTGGCTTCACACTGCTTAGTATACCAGACAAGGTTTTCGCCCACATTTTTCTGAAGCGGATCCGTGACTACGTACTGAGGCATCATAGACCGGAGCAGTCTGGATTCACTCCTGGCAAGTCTAGACGGCATTTTAGAGCTACGAGTCACTGAGAAACGCCGTCGTGAGTTTGGTCGTGGGCTGCTCGTAGCCTACTCTCGCCCTCAATCGGATTATTGGTTTAATTACAAGCCAATATACTGGTACTGAAAGTGCTGTAAAGTATGGAGGGCGGCCTGTCAAACTTCTCTGTTAATTCAGG